AAATTTCTATCTCATAAAAATTCTAATTTTCAAGCAGTAAATGAAGTAGTAGACATAGAAAATTTTGCTTGCCAAGTTAAAGCACTTCTACATTTAACATGGAACTTCCATCTCCATGAACATCTTTCCTCAATTTCAGACCTATCCGTCAGAGTGATATCTAGACACGTACACTTGAATCATGCCATACACAATTCCAAACCAAACATATCAACATCTTCCCTCCAACCTTTCTGTTTTTCCTCCGTATATTTCCCAAGTTAGTGTCTGGAACCACCATCAAACCAGTTATTCAAAGCTTAACTCATTCAATTACCACCAAAGTGATATCTTTAAAAGAGAATCTGGCCATACAGCTTCTTTGGTGCATTTCCATGGTCTTCAGCAGAGTCGAAAGTTAGTTCCCTACCCTCAGTGTTTGTCTCTACCTGCCTGCCACATAAAAATGTGTGTTCATGTGCACACACGCACACACATGCACACAGAGACAGACACACGAGTCAGATCAAGCATTTGCTCTAAGCTCTAGCCACAAAGTCAAAGTGCAATTCAGCACAATCTTACCTGTACCCTGAGACAACTGCATTTTAATGTTAAGGCTGCTATTTGAGATTGTTATTATTGGAGTAATATGTCAAGCATATTTGAACATTTATTAAACATCAGTTAAGGGGCGCCTGGGTGGCGCAGTCGGTTAAGCGTCCGACTTCAGCCAGGTCACGATCTCGCGGTCCGTGAGTTCGAGCCCCGCGTCAGGCTCTGGGCTGATGGCTCAGAGCCTGGAGCCTGTTTCCGATTCTGTGTCTCCCTCTCTCTCTGCCCCTCCCCCGTTCATGCTCTGTCTCTCTCTGTCCCAAAAATAAATAAACGTTGAAAAAAAAAAATTAAAAAAAAAAAATCAGTTAAATTGAAATCACATTAAATTGCAAAAAAAAAATAAGAGAAGGTAAAAAAATCCTGAATCTGAATACAGAAAATCAAGTTTCAAATGCCAGTGGTATTAAGCTGTGAGAACTTCAAAAAGGCACTTTGCCTTTCTGAATCCCAAGTTCTTTATTTTTTCCTTGGAAGCACACAAGAATTCTCTAGAAAAAGCAGAATTCAATAGAGGATATATAAATATTCCACCTCATTAGTGATCAAAGAAATGGAAGCTTGAAACAACATTGAGGATGCATTTTTTCACTTATCAACTTGGAAAAAACACAGCACTCAATGTTAGCACAAGTACATCACAGAACAAGCTTATGTACTGCTCAGCTTCAATAAATGACATAGTCTTTCTGGAAAGTAGGTTTAGAAAGGTATTAGAAATTTATTTTTTTAAAGGTATTAGGAATTTAAAAGCATTATAGCCATCTACTTCCAGAAATCTACTTGAAATTTTAAAAAGCTAAGATTTCTGAAAAATAATTGCCACAATGTTTATGTCATGAAAATAAAAACAACCTAAAAGTAAATATTAGAGTAATTATGAAAAAATCATGACACACCCATATAATAGAGTTTTTTACAGATATCCAAAGCTCCATTTTACCAAAACTTCCAGTGCTTTCAAAATGAAAGAATCTTGTATGATCTTTTTGCACTGTTGTTATAATGTGTATTTTTTGTAGAAAAGAAAATACAAAAAAGTGCAAAAACAGATTGAAAACCTAAAATCATTTCAGTAAATAGAGAAAATAACTAATATGTTACTGAGTTTTTTCATCCATAATGACACTAATTGTATGTCCTTTTATTCCCAAAATAATATAATAGAATTCTTGTTACATTGTTATACAAACCTCAAATACATTATTTGAATATCTGTAAAAATTATTTGAATATCATGGTTTGGGAAATTAAAAAAAGTCTTGGGCATATACAAGGGCAAAATTGAAAAAAAGAATCCCTCTCATAAATATAAGGTTGCAAATGTTAACTCAATTTTATCTTAGGACTCAAAGATTTTCCACAAATAGTTTCCAGAAGAAAGTGGACAACACACAATAAAAATAGCCAAGAGCACAAGGGAAAAAGATAGCAAAAGCATGAGTTAGGAGAATAAGATGCAAAAATAAATGACAAAGACTACAGATATTTAAATTATTAGATTTAGATAAAATAATAACTATTTTGAATAACTATGTTGAAAAGCAAAAGATAAGCTGTAAACCCTTTGCTTCTTGTGTAAGACCCTTTGCTTCTTACACACACAAGTTAATGATTACTATCTGATTGTTTTCTTCACTTTTGCCAAGTGTGTAAGATCTTGTTTTCTTCACGTTCACCACGTGGGAAATACCCTGTGAGCTCAATAAAGTCAAGATGAAACCCCTGTTCAGGCCCTTGTCTCCTCCCATACATTAGCCTCTCTCATATTCAATTCTGTGTCCGCTCTCTTACTGGACAAGACAGAACTCCAGACTCATAGTTTGTGACAGCAAATAAAGTTTCGAAATGAGTAATTATTTTTGCATCTATCTATCTACCTACCTACCTATCTACCTTGCTAGCTACCTACCTACCTATCGACTATTAAGAGTGAGAGACTCACCAGTGAAACATGAATGTAAGAAATGTTTGCCATATATGAACTGATATTATCTCCTCAAATATTATCTCTGTCCTTTTTTTATCTTCTCGTCTTTTGGAACATCACTTAAACATGTGGTAGACCTGACTCTTACCTGTATATCTCTTAATTTCTTTGATTTCACTAATCTTTCGCTAATTCTTTGTTGACTAATCTGCTGTTAAAATCATCATTTATTTTTTTAATTTCAAGTGAAAATCTGAAAGAAAAGTTAAGTAATTAAGTGATATCTAAAATATTAACTGGACAAGCACAATGAATACACTGGAAATCCTTTACAATAACCAAGGCTACATTTCCACTACATGTGATAGACTGTATCACTATTCTCAATTATGTACTGTCTCTCTTTTTAAGAGGATTAGACTTCCCACCCTGTTGACATCAGGCTTGGCCATATGACTTGCTTTGTTCAATGGAGTGTGAGCAAAAGAAACACTTATCATCTTCCTGTGGAAGCTGTAAGGGTCATCAAGTGATCTCACTAATGAATCTGTGCTTACCAGAGCAATGTGCCCTAGCAGGATCTGATTCTTCACCCTGAATCTAAGAAGTAGAAATAACATGAAACGCAGACACAGCTAAATTGCAATGCAAGTGAGAAATAAACCTTTCTACTTGTATACCACTAAGATGAGATAGACGCTTGTTGGCAAGATAATCTCATAAATGCTAACTCTCACACTTCCTTTCTTCCAGAGGGGTCTTCTCATTAGCTTCAGAATTTTTATTTTTTCTCCTATGGCTCTCTTAATAAAATGTAGTAACATTAACAAGTACAATTTTAAGTTATTTTTTGGAAAACAATGTTCCTTTTGCTGTCTTTTAAAAATTCTTTTCAACATATAGATAAATCTTATAGTTTCATTCTAGCATTTCCAAAGATAAAACGATCACTAAGAAATTTTAACAACTTCCTATACAATCATCCAATATCATTATTACCCCTTTCCCTTCTTTGTTCCTTCTTTCCCTTCAATAATTAACTTTGAATAGCACAGTATGTCATGTACCATGCTTGATGATGCAGATTCATTGATGAAGAGAATACAGACATGGCCTATGTCTGCCCTCACAGATCACGTGTTTTGAGGGAGATGAACATGAGTCAAATATGTGCACACAAAAATTGCAAATATGGCAAGAGATCTGAAGGAGAAAAGTATGTGTGCCATATATACACATAATATAAGAATTAGATTTAACTTGGATTTCATTGATTTAACAATCAATGAAAAAGCTTCTCAGAACTCACTCCAAAACTGTCTTAAGGATAAAGAGTAATTTGCTGGGTAAAAGGAACAGGAAAAATACTATAGGAAAAGGAGATAGCACACAAATGCCATATGGGCTGCCAAACACGTGGCAAATAGGAGAAGATGAAGCAAGGCTATAGTATTTGAACCAAATGTGATATGAGACAACAGAGGCAGGTATGTCTGCCTATTCAGGGACCTTGTCGGAGATGTTAAGGAGGGGATTTTCCCTTCATTCCTGTTAAAATTAATGCAGGTGTGGAGAGGAACTGATCATACTTATGTCAAAAAAAACAAAAAACCAAAAAACAGAAAAAAGAATGAACCCACCACAGTGTAGATAATGGATTAGAAAGGAAGCATAATGACTGCAGGTAAACTAGCTTTGGAAGTCACTATAAGCTCTTGCTAGACATGATGATAGCTTGTTCCAGGGTGCTGATCGAGCAGTGTTAACAGATAAAAAGATATTTAGTGTGTGAAACATTTCTTCTTAATATGTTGAATATGAGGGTTGAAATAGAAACAGAAAGCAAGAAAACCTGTAGGTTTCTGAGCTAAGAAAACTAGTAGTTGCTGGGAAGAATTGAGGGTTGACTGAAGGATAGCAGGAGCTTGATTAAACATACTGTAAGTTTAAAGTGTCTTTGAGTGTAAGAGGACATGTCAAAAGGAGATGATATGAGTGAGCAAAAACTCCTCGTAAGATCATTTTTTCACTACTTGATATCTCTAAAGGGATTCAGAGTGCTTTAAAGAGCAACATTTAGAATAGAAATAAACAGGGGAGCCTGGGTGGCGCAGTCGGTTAAGCGTCCGACTTCAGCCAGGTCACGATCTCGCGGTCCGTGAGTTCGAGCCCCGCGTCAGGCTCTGGGCTGATGGCTCAGAGCCTGGAGCCTGTTTCCGATTCTGTGTCTCCCTCTCTCTCTGCCCCTCCGCCATTCATGCTCTGTCTCTCTCTGTCCCAAAAATAAATAAACGTTGAAAAAAAAAAAAAATTAAAAAAAAAAAAATAGAATAGAAATAAACAACATTTAAGCTGATGATAAACACAAACACCACCAAACCACCCCAGAGATGTATCCATGTAAAATGAGGAGATACATTATATTTAACATACTTAATATATTATATCAAAATAAAAATTATATTTGCAAAATTACCTGTCATTGATAAGACCTGCCATGGTTTCAATATCAATTCCAAGCTTTCTGTTTTCTTCTGCCGAATGAGTATATGCAATTGAAATATCTGAAAGGTCTTTTGCAACATTAGAAAGCTCAATATCCCATGTTTGTTTCTTTAAGAATAAGAGAATCATTTATACATGTTATGTATCTCAAAAAGAAAAAAAATGTGTAATAATGTCATTACTTTTAGTTGCAGGAGTTAATATTTAGGAACAGAGAACAGAGCTCTAGGGGGAAGTAGAAAAAGGTCAACTTACTGTTGCATAATAATTATTGAATGCTTCCAGATATTCCTTTTCATAACTTTTTCTCTTCCAGGCTAGTTGATCATAATTTTTTTTCAAATTGTCTAGCTAAGAAAAAATATACAGAAAAAAATGAATTATGAAGCTTCCTCCATTTTTTTGTAAATTAAGAAATATATTTCAAATTGTGTCAGTACCATAACTTAATAAATATTGATTAAATAGTATAAAATAACACCATAAGTGGTTGCCATTTATAAAAATTGATACAGGATTCTGAATATAATGTACCAAATCAATTTAACAGTGCTCAAATAATTAACCATGAAAAACAGATTATATTTTAGTTATAAGTTGATAAATATTAGAAAATTCAAATCATAATTCATCACATTAACAACTTAAAGGAAAAAAAAAAAACAACATAAATATGGTCAATACTCCAGACAATAGCCGTGATAAATTCACTATCTAGTTTTGAAAAATTTTAAACTAGTACAAGGAAAAACTACACAAATATAAAGAACAACAATGCTTATTTAAGAGTTTCAATCAAGATCCACGTGAAAAGAAGCCATGCAAAGGTTTAATAGAATATATTATGAGTTATCTTAAAATTATAGTTGCATCAACTTGCCAGTATACTAAAAATCATTGAATTATACAATTTTAGAAAACATATTTAAGAGGCAACAGATCTAAACACTAATGACAAAGGAAATAATTCAACAGGACATTGTTTCCCAAACCATTTCAGAACACTTTTTTATTTTATTCATACTAAACACCATACTATTTGTACTAGTATGCATTTAATAATTTTCTTAAGGCAAGTCACATGTTTATTTAAATAATTTTTTCAAAAAGAAAATTGTTATTATAAGTTACAAATCCAGTATTATATGCCATAAAGGAAAGCAACTTTGAAAACAAAAACAATTTAGGAAACAAACAATATAAAAATAAAAGTAGTATTAAATGTATTCAATTTACCAAAATAATACTAAATATATTTCTCTTAGAATTATGATCAGTAATTAAAGAAATATTTGGATTGATGTTGTAACTTTAAGATGAGAATTTCAATGAATTATGATTTACCTGTATATTTAATAAATTTCCCAAGTAACTGGACAGTGTATTTCTAACCAGTACACTGATAGTGTAGATAAATTTCCCAGTACACTGGACAGTGTATTTCTAACCCAAATAAAAATGGGTTTTTTTAATAATTTCTAGTTTCAAGAATTCTTTTGAAATATCTTCCAGAATTGTTCTTCAGAAACTGTCCAATTACTAAGTGATGTACAAGCTTTCTTACTCACTCATTACTACCATGGTTTGGGAAGTAATTCTGAAGAAGACTATTAGTCAAGCTTTTTAGATAGTGCAATATATTTTGAATGTATTCCTCAGATAAAGTTGTAGCCAAATCACTCAATGAAACACATCCTCCTTGACATGATTAAAAGGTATACTCTGTGGCTTCAGTTTTGCTGGATTTATTTTTTCTTCAATGTGGAACACCTATTAGATTTGCATTTTAGGTTTTTGGCATTTTAGATTTTTGAGTGAAATTAAAAATATCCTTTGTAAAATATCCTAATTTTTAATGGAGTGCTTTATCATAAAAGTCATCTAGAAGCCCAAGGTTTTTACTGAGGAACACCTGAACCTCTTTTTCTAAATAGGGAACGAGTTTTTTTAAAAAGCACATATTAAATAATGGTTGATCATCCATTTACAAATCTGATAGCACATAGTATTTGGTGGTGAAGGACTTCTCTTAAAATGCCTACATCATTTTGCAATGGCTTCCCTATGAATATAACAGTGGGTAGATTTGCCGGTCTTGGCAATTGTTTGAATATGTGTAATGAATTATTTTCTTTTATCTGGCTATGGCATTAGTATCAGATGTGCTTAATCAAAAGCATGGATTCCAGGACTCACTGCTGTTTCTCAAGAAGTGTCAATAAGTTTAAATTTTCTTTATTTGTACACATTAGCAAAGAATTCCCAGTGTAAATGAATTCATCGCTTTGCAGTGAATTATAACAACTTTTATACTAGATAATAATTACTTCTTTATATATTTGGTTATCTTCTCTAAGAGATGGACTGTTGTTTGACATGGGCATTTAATGAATCATTTTGTTAGCTATATCCCTGAATCTCCCTGTCACCATTTCTTTGGTAACAGGCTTGATAAATGTCTTGCTAACTGCTTCAGCAGATCTGGACTGTGAAGTTAATTGTAATGCTAAAAACATAATTGTAGAGTCTCAGCATTTTCATTCTGTGTCAGTCTGCACACACATTGGAGTATCCTTCTATTTTAAAATTTTGATGGGCTTTATAAAATACTTTTTGCGCTTCAACATGACAACTGTGGATTGTTTAATAATTGTGCCCATTGTGACTAATCTTAGAACACATAATAAAGATTTGTTTTCTTCACTTGTTCATAAAATCCAGAATTCTAATAAAATTCAAGTTCATCCCACACTAATCTTTCTTTGCTGCTTGTACTTTTGCAACATTCATAAGGGATTTTTAGGAAATACTTTTATTTGGTCTTCACATCTATCTAAAGACATGTAACTGTGTCTTCACTAGTGTTCTTCACTAGCGTCTTTATGTCTACACGTAAATATCTTTATTTGTAACCATTTTTCTAGGACTGAATCTACATAAGTACAAAAATCATAAACAGACCCCAAACCAGTTTCTAATGTACTTTCCAGATCAGACGTGGTAGCTCTGATGCCTAAAATTATATATATTTCATATACCAAACAATTGTAAATCTTTAGAAATAGATTCTCCCATGTGTTTTCCAATAAAAAGAATAAAAAATAAACATGAGAATTCAGTGCCTTAATAATCTGTACTGCCATGTGACTGACAGGTGTTTGTTGGAAGGCTTAGGAAATGAAGTTATAAAACATTCATGAACACACCTTAAGTACTATACGTATAATTCTTAAAATCTGCAGTGTTTAAGAAGTACTATTACTTTAGCCCTGCCCTAAGCAATAAAATCCAGGCAATCACACATATTGTTGTGTGCTAATTGCTTTCCTAATACAAACGATAATAAACATAACTTCGAAAATGTTCATCATTGGAATATCTAAAATCATGTAGAATGTCATGAATAGTAATCTTTGCAAGCAAAAAAAAAAAAAAAAAAAAAAAAAAGAGGAAATCTGAATGGCTGAATGGCTAAAAAAAGAAATGAAATGAATTTACTTCACTACCAGGAAGGAAAATGAAAATTAATCCAACACTTCTTTACCCAACAATTAAGTTGGTATAATTTTAAAATACCTACAGTGTTGAGTAAAGTGAGAAATCTGACATCTGTATTGCTCATATACTCATACATATGTACAAATATACAAACAAAACTTTTTGGAACATATTTCAGTAATATCTGTCTTGAAAAATACAGTTAGTTCTGACACAACAATCCAACTTTTGAGATTCTATCACATACAAAGAACCAGGACATAAAAACAACATATATAAAGTTACTAATTTTAATATTGTTAGTAGTGGTTAATAACTGTATTCATTCTGAATTTATTCAAAAGATAAGTAATTGACTAAGTTATCTGACGTGAATAAAGTGTAATTAATGGCTCAGTGAACCTCCTTTGCAACTTCCTTCTAAAGTGTTTTCTTGTGTATCAGAGCCCAGGAAAGAAAAAGAACAGAAAAGAAGCCAGGGAGGCAGGCAGGAAGGAAGGCAGGCAGTTTCTATTTTTATTTGTGAAAGTGTTCAGGATGCACATTAGTTTCAACCAATAGGAGATAACAGTCAGGCATATTATGGAAAGTAGAACTGAGGTAAAAGGCATCTTCCTGATTATTGGTTGCTTTTGTTTTGTTTGTTTTGTTTTGTTTTCTCTCTATTGGCAAATAAGGCCATAGAGATGTGACTATACACATAGAGATGTGTATAGCTGAATGTTGTAGAGTTGAGTGTCCGTCTACCAGCTGTGGGTACTGAGGCCCTGTGGCAGCGGAAGCAGTGGCTACAGCTCCCATATCCCCAGCCTTCTGATCCAAGGAGCAGGCATACGCCCAACACAGGTCCAGAGGCAGCCTCAGATGTCATAGTGCCTATACTACTGGTCAACTAGGGAAACACTCCTGGAAGCCCAGCCTACGGTTCTCTCTGCCAGTTTTGCAAACTTGTTGAAATCTCTAAACCCCTTTCTGCCTAAAACAGAGGGATTTCTGTTTTCTGCACTGTACTCTGACTGATAGGATGGCGATTTACAGTGGGAAAGATCTGTACCACTAAAAAAGTACATTAGGCTTATATCTAATAACCTTGAGGAATATCACAACGTATTTATAAGTAAAAGAGTAACTTTACTAAATGCGTACATAGAGAAGACCCTTTTGTGATTAAAAATAAAATAGCAAATCATACATATATACAATCATATCCTTATAGAAGCACAGAAAAATATGTGCAAGGTAACACACTGTGTTGGTAACATAGGGTACTTCATGTGACATCAGGAAATCTAATGGGGAGAAAACAGGTGTTAATACAAATAGCTAAATCTTTGTGTCTTTTTATTTGTACCATTAGCCTCAGTGAACATGTTACTTAATAACACTAAGGAGAAATTTAACCTCAGAAAGACAGCACTTAGTCTACACCATTTCACTGTTTTATAAATTGAGTGAGTCATTAATAGCATGGAAATTACTGAGGATAGTTGTGAATAAAAATAATGAAAACACTGAGGTGGGAAAACATAGTTTGATAACTCCATCACTGAAAAGAGGATATATACAACATTTTAAGTAATTAGTTTGTAATATAAGAAATTCATAATTCATAATGTTTTAGACATATACATATTGAATGAAAGATTAAATTTTAATATAAAATATCAATAAATATTTTAAATATTAAAATCATATTAAGAATAAAATGTTTTTCTATTTTTTAATTTTTTTTAAATTTTTTTATGTTTGTTTATTTTTGAGAGAGAGAGACAGAGTGTGAGCGGGGGAGGCGCAGAGAGAGAAGGAGACACAGAATCCAAAGCAGGCTCCAGGCTCTGAGCTGTCAGCACACA